CCCACAGAAAGCTCCAGTTCCACACTGTGATAAATATGACCATGTCTACCACACACAAACCACTCTGGTGGCAGATTATAAGTTAAAGCGGACATCACAAAAGACCCCGACGTATTGCCGACAATGTGACACATGAGATACGGCTAAAAGAGTTGTGTTAAATCATATTTCCAGCGGGATAATTTCATTTTAATTAGCTCACTTTGTGGTGCATCCGTAGTGTGTCTACTTTGTCTTGCATGCAGTCGGTAGATAATAGGTGTCTAATTTTGACAGCGCGCAGTATGATGTGTTTGTGCATGAAGCGCTGCTGGGCTGGCAGGCTTGCATTAATCCTGAAGCCTGAAGCGATTTATTTCCATCCAGCTGTTGGGGATGTGCTGGCAGAAGGGACCCTGCCAGCCCCTGCGCTTGATGTGATTCTGATCAAACGGCTTCGAGAAGGTTCACCACAGGTCTTCCCGCTGTGAGAGAACGCACCGTAGCCTGTGAGAGGCGCTAGACCGACAGGTGACCGCTCAGCGAGGGATTTCCATGTTAGGATTCCCATATTGTACATATTTGCATCTGGCCCCCTTCAGATTAAACAGACTATGAATTCATTTCCTACTGTACTGATCTAGAACGACGTGCCTGCGATAGAGCCAAGTAGTACCCCAGCAGATCTCCAAGCAGATCCAGATCCACAGCAATTAATGTAGTTTCTTTGCCATTTGTACTGTAAATTCATGGTCTATACAGTAATATGAAAAACTGACCTTTTTTTTTACTTTTCAGTAAAAATTGCCATGAAGTACAAGTCAAATCACGTTTATTGTCACATCACATTTATCTCAGGTGTGCAGCCCCCTCGTAGTACTTACATATACAACAACATGTAAGATAAGAGAATATATACACCGATCAGGCATAACATTATGACCACCTCCTTGTTTCTACGCTCATTGTCCATTTTATCAGCTCCACTTACTATATAGGTGCACTTTGTAGTTCTACAGTTACAGACTGTAGTCCATCTGTTTCTCTGCATACTTTGTTAGCCCCCTTTTACCCTGTTCTTCAGTGGTCAGGACCCCCATGGACCCTCACAGAGCAGGTGCTAACCTTGTATCTCCATTTTTGGTGTTTTTCAGTTTTTGACATAATTTGAAAATGGTTGTTGCCCTTTACAGTGTCTCAAAATTTCATGATGAATGGACCAAAAGAAATGGCCCAAAATTGCTTGGAAAAAAAGTCTGGTTCCATTGACTTACATTAAAAGTAAAGTATGTTTTTTCCTTCTCCTCTAAATTTACCATTTTGGAGATACGAGAACAGCGACAACAGCGATATATATATATATATATATATTAGACTCTAGGTATATACACATAAACACAATATTCACATTAATATACACCAGTGTTGCACTATTCCAATACACAGTTTTTGTATTGTAATATAAGTTCTGAAATAAAAGCTATGATATGTGTAGTTGGGCATATTTTCACAGATGTACAATATGTGAGGGTGAGGTATGTAAATGAGATGCAGGGTACACAGGGGATAGAATATTGATATTGGACTGGCAGAAGTGCATCGAAACAGGGTTTTTCAAGATTGTGTACCCTCACTGTGCACTTTGTTAGACATACGTCATACATCTTACCTCATACATATGTTGGTACACCTTATAAGTGTACAGTTAGAGACTGTAGAATCTTCTTGTGCTTCATCAGCGGTGACTTTTTTTCTACAAGGCCTTTGTTGGCTGAATATTTTTGTTTTCTTAACTCAGCAGTGATGTTGATATGTGTGAAAACCCCAGCAAGGTGTGAAATGCTCCTCCTAGACCTTGAAATATTTTTCGGAATAATGGGCCCGGACTCTTCACGTTGTCATTTTCCAAATATGTGTCGGGCTCAGGTCAGATTCAGTTTTCATGTTGGGGTTCTCACAGCTCTCCTCCTCCTGTTAACAGATTTTATCCTGCATTTCCCTGCTGTAGTTTTTCTCCTTACTTTATTTTTCCTCCCTGCTTTCATGAATAGAAAACAGTTTTTAACCTGGCATGCCGGAGTCGACCACTTGTGTTGGTGACAGAGTTTAACACCAAATGTGCAGGAAGTAAAACAGCGAATCGATTCATGAAAGTACAATTTAGTGCAGCCAGGAGGGGATTTTATGAGGTATGTTCAATTTGTTATATATTATACCTTCTGTGTGAAGAAGCAGAGTTTAAACAGGGATCAGTAGAGTAAACCACAATAAGATACACTCTCAGACACTCTCAGACACTCTCAGACAGATACACTCTCAGACACTCTGAGACAGATACACTCTCAGACACTCTCAGACACTCTCAGACAGATACACTCTCAGACAGATACACTCTCAGACAGATACACTCTCAGACACTCTCAGACAGATACACTCTCAGACACTCTCAGACAGATACACTCTCAGACAGATACACTCTCAGACACTCTCAGACAGATACACTCTCAGACAGATACACTCTCAGACACTCTCAGACAGATACACTCTCAGACAGATACACTCTCAGACAGATACACTCTCAGACACTCTGACAGATACACTCTCAGATACACTCTGACAGATACACTCTCAGACAGATACACTCTCAGACAGATACACTCTCAGACACTCTCAGACAGATACACTCTCAGACAGATGCACTCTCAGACACTCAGACAGATACACTCTCAGATACACTCTGACAGATACACTCTCAGAGACACTCAGACAGATACACTCTCAGATACACTCTGACAGATACACTCTCAGACAGATGCACTCTCAGACACTCTCAGACAGATACACTCTCAGACACTCTGACAGATACACTCTCAGACACTCTGACAGATACACTCTGACAGATACACTCTGACAGATACACTCTCAGACAGATGCACTCTCAGACACTCTCAGACAGATACACTCTCAGACAGATGCACTCTCAGACAGATACACTCTCAGACATATGTACTCTCAGACAGATACACTCTCAGAGAGATGCACTCTCAGACAGATACACTCTCAGACAGATACACTCTCAGAGAGATGCACTCTCAGACAGATACACTCTCAGACAGATACACTCTCAGACAGATGCACTCTCAGACACTCTCAGACAGATACACTCTCAGACAGCTACACTCTCAGATACACTCTCAGCCAGATGCACTCTCAGCCACAGTGACGTCACATGCACATGCACTCTCACAATGGCAGAAGCAGCCCAACAGCATGTTAACGTTTGGCTGCTTCTGCTTGGCGGCATCATCACTTAATCCATTTCTCGTCCAGAACACAGCCGGGAAAATTCCATTTAATGTACCTCCCTGTTGAAAAAGTCATAAAACCATATTAAAAGTGTCTGTTGGTTCCTGGTGGTTTTCAATAGTCTCTAATGGTATCTGTGTTTTCCTGATGGGTTGATATCACAGTGTAAAGGATTCTAATCGTTTAATCAGGTGTTCTGGGACTGATTCCACATACATTTGACCGTTTCTTAATGGTCTCTAACGACAACAATCAAGCCAATTCCTGTTGGGAGTTGTTCGTCTTCAGCTTGGCTTTCATCAGTTTCAGTAGTCTGTTTGTTTTTTTCTGCGAATAAACCCAACATTCATGTTTTATCGTCGTGGTTTTATTTTGAAAGTTTCCATATTTAGTCGCCTTATTATTAGTATGACGATGATAATATGCATTCAGTGTAACTCTTGTTGCCCAGCAGTCCGTGCTTCACTGTTTTTCCTCATAAAACCGACAAAAACACTGTGGTGGCAGAGCAGCACTGACGTCATGAATAGGCTGGCAGAGCATGTCAGGCTGAGAGTGCATGTCTGCAGCCAGACCCTTCTCAGATAAACAGGAAAGAAGCATCTTGCTGTGTCAGCAACACCACACAGTGTGAGAACAGGACATTCTGGGAAGCTAAAAACTAATCCAGACTAAAAATGTTAGAATGTCGTTTGAAACAGTTACTTTATGAATAAATTTGTGAAATTTCATTTTGGACAGCTGATCGATATCAAATCACTTTATTCAATGTGATTTTATCAGTTATTTTATTTGATCTAATTACTGATATTCTTGTGCACACCAAAGATGTGTGACATGAGCTATGATGTTTGCTTTATTTTTGGAAGATGATTTTGGACAGAATTTTGTTGGACTCAGGTTTTGGACTAAAAGCTTGATGTGGTTCGGGCCAGGTGCAGGCAGGATTTTGTCGGGCACATTTCGGGTTCAGACTCAAAACCTGGTTATGTGGGTCAGACCAGGCTTGGACAGAAAATTTAGTATTTGTAAACCTACAAAGAATCAGCCATTCTATGGAAACGTCCATTTTTGTGTCCATAGCGTTTACAGATATATTACACTTGAAAAACGTGATTTTTTTCAGGGTTACAATTTATTTATATTTTAAAATAAATAAATAAAACAAGTTATTTTAACAGTGACATCTTCTTGAGCTGTCAATTTAGCAATATTGGTTTTTAAATCAATTGTATAGAATTCCAAGCGCCACAGAAGAGCTCACAGTTGTGAAAAAATAGAATACATATGGATTAAATTCCATATTTTAGTGGATATTCCATGATTGACAACATGTGGTTTGATGCTCTGTAGCAGCCATTTTGTAAAATGCATTGTTCATTAAAAATGTCTCTGGTGTTCCTTTATTATGAGTAACACCAATGAGGATCGGTAACACCAGTGACTCCTATGGAGAGATAGAAAAGTGGACGTTTCTGTAGAATGACCCACCTAATAAACTGGCATCTCAGTGTAAATTCGGAAACACAGCAGTGCTTTCTGTTTATAGCCTTTTCACCACAGGGAAAAACAGCCTAATGCAAGTGACGGATGCTCCCTGAGCTTGGAAACTACTAAGTGAAGAAAAATCAATGTAATCTTTCCCACTGCGCGAACTAAATTGAAGTATATTGTGTCAAAACTCCCTCACTTTCTTCACATCTGTGTTTTTTTAGGAATCAGCACTCTGGACGGCAGTGCGGAGAAGGAGAAGGACTTTCGGGGGAAGTTTCAGAAGCAGGTGCAGTTTAACCCTGGCCAGACCGCGGCCATGTGGCGGATTAAGATCTTATCTGACGGGAAGTACGAGCAGTCCGAGACGTTCAACATCGTTCTGTCTGAGCCGGTCATGGGGGCTCTGGAGTCACCAGCAGTGGCTACCGTGGAGATTGTGGACCCCGGAGATGGTAAGACAAATAAACTGAAAATAATGAACACAGTCTGGGCACTTTTTTCCCCTCAGGCTGTTTTCAGGTGCATTTTTACTTCTGAGCTGAATAACATTTGGAGCAGAGAGATTCTTTTAAAGATACAGATTCTTAATATCAGTCGATACCACATTAGTGTTGGTCAGTATCAGAGGATATCATTTATTACGATTTACATAATATACATATTATGAGTACAGAATTCATTAAACGACTAATTAACCCTCTATCGCACAGTGCTGCCTCAGGGACAACAAATTCATTTTCCTCACTTTACAATAACATTATACATATTTAAAGACAACAATAAGATTAACAATAAAGGGAAGAGTTTGAGTAAGTCAATAAAAGCATGTACTTGGTATATATACTATATGTTTGGATTTAGCCAGTCACAAGGCACAATGTTTCCTCAAGGCAACATATTCCAAAAGGACCCCTGAACACATTACTTTTTATTTATTTATTTATTTATTTACTTTAATACTTTTGAATGTAATAATCAGGTCTGAAAATATAAATCAAGGACCATTTTATGCAAGACAAGTAAGTTGATTTTTTTTGCTTTCATAATGTGTGCAGTAGAGGGTTATATTGCATAATGTTGCCTCAGGGCAACAAACTCATTTTCCTCACTTTACAATAACATAATATATATTTAAGGACAATAAACGTAAGAGTTTGAGTAAGTCAATAAAAGCATGTACTTGGTATATATACTGTCTCTTATTGGGTACATTTAAACCTCATTTTTAACATTCAGGATCTTTTTTTTATTATGAGAATTTGCAGAAATGTTTGTTGTCTAGAAGCAACATCGTGCGACAGTGGAATGGATTTAGCTGGTCACAAGTCAGGTCTCACCACTGCAGGGAACACGGCTCTATATCATTCCTTCCCATTGTCGCACAATGTTGCCTGAAGGCAACGTACTCCAAAGGTACCCTTGAACACATTACTTTTTAGTTATTTATTTAGTTTAATGTTTTTGAATTTGATAATCAGGTCTGAAAAAATAAATCAAAGGCCGTTTTATGCAAGACAAGTAAATTGAGTTTTTTTTTAATTGCTTTAATAATGCGTGCAGTAGAGGGTTAGTTATGTAGTTCTGTAATTGCATTTCAGTCGAATAACAAAACTTTCTTCTAAGGGTTAAAATCTAGAAGCAGCCAACATGACAGCCCCTTTTTTCTTTACATCAAACTGAATTTTTCTCGTTAATTTAGCAAGACTTGAAATTGGTCGAGCCAAATCAAGACACGTCCGCAATTCTGCCATGAAAAGTAAGGTAACGTCCAAAGCCAGAGTCTTCTGTCTGACAAAGGAGTCATTGTGAAATAATTGGCCTCAGAGTGGCTATAAAAGCTAGATTTTTTATTTTTTTTTCTAGACTTGAAAATTCAAATCAGCTGTGTTAGACGTCAGCCACTTACAGCACAATAGCCCGTTCAAAGCAAAATGATCAAAATGCCAATTCAAAGTTTGAATAGTGGGGTCTCACAATGATACTCTGTGCATGTTAGGGGGAAATGGGTTTTACTGTGTGGATCCAAACCCTCTCCCTATTGCAGCAGAGCTCTGACATTCATATTTTTTTTTCTTTCTCCAGCTAGACCCCAATTATCTAAGCACTTTATCATCCCTCTTGGCCCTTATTAACATGTTTTACCTCCCCCGCACCTTAGCAGACTCTTTTTTTGAAGTTCTATTCACCACACGCCACACTTTAAGGTACGTCTCGTCCATAGCAGCAATTTGCACTCTATAGGAGACGGGTTTCCAGTGAATAGCAGTAGGAAATAGTTACCTGTGGAATTAATAAATTATATATATTTTTCCCCAAACAGTTTTCACCAGGGTATATTTGTGTTTTTTCCATCGGAATTTACATGACCAAATGTAAGGCAAATCATTCAGTAACTGCATAAAATAAATGTAAATTTTATTTTATTTATTTACTTTCTTTGTAAAAGCTCCCCTCAAATTAACAGAACATGTTTTATGATCACACATGTTGCTATATGCTTACAATTCAATGCTGAAAGCCAGAAATCTTAGACTCTCTTTGTATTATTTTATAAAAATAATGTTTACAGAGCAGATCACTGAAGAGACGCCATCTGTTTATAGTTTATAGCCCAGATTTGTGGAAAAATGGGTCGACTTTCAGTAGAATAAAAATGAGTTCAGCTTCTTTTATTATAAGGGTTTAAAATCACATCACCCATCTATTTGACTGGAAAGAAGACAGTTACAGCTCTCATACGACCCCCACCTTTAGAATGTAGCTTATGAAATATGAACGCTATGAAATAAAGAATGTGACGAAGTGCGTTTTGGAACCACCGGTGGTCCCAAGGAGTTGAAAAGGTAAAATATTTTAGAGAAGCACTATAAATGAGAACATACTGTGCTTTAACTACAGGTGAGAAACTGTAGAACTAATTATACAACAGGCCTGATTTGTAACCAAGCATTCAAGAATAACCCGCTAATCAAAAAACTTTGTCTTCTGAAGATTTTCAACAAACCGTCAGCTCTGGCTCACACCAGGCTGGCTCTTTTAAATGGCTTTTCCCCTGTCGTACGCTAGGCCGCTGGTTGTGGACTTTAGCTTCATTGTTTGCTCTGCTGCCGTGGGAATCTGCAGCGCGTTCTCACTTTCATAAGCAAACTTAGATTTGTAGGCTACCAATAACCACAGGCTTATTTTTATTTCACAGCGGGTGCGTATTTCCCTTTATTGGCTTTGCGGGGTCCCTTGGTAATTATAATTTCGATCTATCGCACCAAACGCAGCCACAGCTTTCCGTCTGAGCGCGACGCGCTAGCTCTGTCTTACAGCGAACTTATTTCTCCATGTAAAAAAAAACTGCCTGGCTTCCCCTGTGAGCTAATTACCAGTCTTATGGTGGGTTTGTTTTGCTGAGGTTGGGCTCCTGAGAGAGGCTTAACGTGTCGGCTTTCTCTAATGGCGGGAACGGAGAAGAAGGGAGACACTCGGCCGTCCTGCGCAGTCCAGCTCTGCTCCACGCTCGGCAGTAATTAGCACTTTAGCGCTTATGGCAGTTAAGCGTGTGCAGTATGATGATATGTTTTTGTTATTGTGATAAATTTTCAGGGTGCCATTAGCTCTCTAGAAAGAACTGCATGCATCATAAAAAGGCTGACTAATTACAGAGAACCTGTAAACAACAACCTAATGTATAGGAAATGCTTAAAATGCATAGTAACAGGTAACTGATTTAGTGTCAGCCAGCTGTTCAGTTATCTATTTTTAGTGGTGTTAAAGTTATCATGTTAATAATGAGTTAACACAAAAAGTGATTAATAGCACAAATTTATTAATGCTTTAAATCAGGGGTGCCCAATACGTCGATCGCGATCGACTAGCCCAGGGGTCGCAACCCAAATGTTAAGAAGGGCCATTTCGTTCTTTCAACAAAAATCAAACCACCTTGGGAGCCACAAACATTTTATGTCTGTTTTGCCGTCTTCTTTCTCAGTATGTGCTCATGTACTAGTATAGGATAAGAAATATAACATAAACAAAAAGGCAGACTTACTTTGCTTTAAGCTTTTGCTCAGCTACAGCCGCTTTTCTCGCATCTCCGGCAGGAAACCTTTTCGCAAAAGTAGAACAGTTTCTTGTAAAATGTCTCTCAATGTTCAGTGTTTTACGAGGCTGAAGTCGCTTCTCATTCACCGGCTTCTTGTTCACATTTTCCCGTTCCACCTTAAATGGTGCTTGAGGCGCCAGAAAGTAATTGCTGCACCATTTAAGGTGGAACGGGACAATTTGAACAAGAAGCTGGCGAATGAGAAACTGACTACAGCTTTGTGGCTTTTTAGTGTTTGTCAGTATCTCGTTGCAGATTAAACGTATCAGGAAACCAGCTGGAGTGATTATAAATGCAAATAATCCATTCATCTCCAAATTATTGATGTTCGTCTTAAATCTCTCTCTTTGCCTTTTCTTTAGCTACTAGCTAGACGAGACTTTTCTGCGTTGCTATGGTGACCAGTAGTCTGCGCGCCAACCTTCAGGGCTAAAGCGTGAATCAGCAGTTCTACATTAACTCCAGCGTTTGAGACCATTTATTGTTAAAACTGTGTTGAACGATCAGCAGAGCTTTATTTTACTGTAAAGGAGGATTATTTTATTTTTACAAATCTAATTCTGCTGTGGAGCCACAACAGGGCAGTAAAAGAGCCGCATGTTGCCGACCCCTGCTCTACGTACGGCTCATGAGAACTCTGCTTTCACATGATGAAAATAATGTTATTGAATTATTGAAGTAATAAAGTGAAATAATAGATACATTCTGATTAAGCATATTTAAAAAATAGTAAAATAGTAATAAAACAAATGTGATGAATCATGGTTTACTACACAAACAATGTGACTAATCACAATCAATTATTATATCTTACATGAATTTATTTGTAGTAACGGTTCAGTTTTGTCCTCCTGTTCTTTTATGGCTGTTATGCTGGTGTTTTTTGGGTCCAATTTGCCGATATGTATTGTGTACCATGAAGATTATGGAGATGTTATATATTTGCCATGTCGCTCACCTTCAGCATACAATACTCCATCACCCCCTCTGAGAAGAACTGCATGCATTAATATTTTAACAAGAAATGGTACAGTTTCTTCCATCTCGGGCTCGGAGAGACCTGTCTGACCCACTTGCTGCCGAATGGTGACATTTACCCTCCACGCTTTACAACAAACCACTAACGTCAAACAGAGCCAGCATCCGGGGATAAGAGGTTTTCAGTGTAACGAGCAGCTGCATTAATACCAGATTCATTCACTGTGACTGAGGAGAGAGAACCACTACACGTAGAGCAGGACGACACTGACTGGTGTAGAATTTAACCTCAGCCGTGTCTTCTACAGTTCTTTCCTAGTGTATTTAGCATCGCTATGCAGGTTGTAGCACACAGGTCATTTAATTGTTAAAATACAGCACAGCACAAAATCAGAACCCACCATTCCTTTATTTAATTTCCAGTCAGAATAGACTGGGTGTAAGGTTTTTTTTCTGTGTAATCAAGCTAGCTTTAGCATGGTAGCAAACCCATTAATGTAAGTTTTGATTAAATAGCCACAGCAGAATTAGATGTGTAATTAGATTGTTCAACATAGTTTTAACAATAAATGGTCTTAAACGCTGGAGTTAATGTAGAACTGCTAATTCACCCTTTAACCCTGAAGGTTGGCATGCAGACAACAATCTTGCCTAGCTAGTAGCTAACGAAACGGCAAAGAGGAAGATTTAAGAGGAAAATCGATCATTTGGAGATGAATGGACTTATTTGTATTTATAATCAACCCAGCTTGTTTCCTGATACGTTTAATCTGCAACGAGAAACTGACAAACACTAAAAAGTCGCGAGGCTGAAGTCAGTTTCTCATTCGCCAGCTTCTCGTTCAAATTCTCCCGTTCCACCTTAAATGGTACAGCAGTTACATTCTGGCGCCTCAGGCACCATTTAAGGTGGAACGGGAAAATTTGAACAAGAAGCTGGTGAATGAGAAGCGACTTCAGCCTCGTAAAAAGTCGAACGTTGAGACATTTTACAAGAAACTGTTCTACTTTTGCGAAAATGTTTCCTGCCGGAGATGCGAGAAAAGCTTCCATAGCTGAGCTAAAGCTTAAAGCAGAGCAAAGTAAGTCTGCATTTTTATTTATATTATATTTTTAGCCTATATTAGGACATTAGAACACACTGAGACATATTTACAGCCAAGATGGTAAAATGGGCATAAAGTTTTGTGGCTTCCAAGGTGATTTGATTTTTGTTGAAAGAACAAAATGGCTCTTCTCAACATTTGGGTTGCGACCCCTGCTCTAGATAAAAGCTGCAAAGACGCTGCAACTTCTCATTATGTTGAATGATATTTGCCTATTTTCTGCGAAGCTTATCCAAAACAGCAAGTGGCAAGATTGAATAGGTCGATTAAAATGGTGTCGCAGGCCTGATCTGGACTGCGGTCCTTGTGTTTGACACATGGGCTCTAAAAGGTACTTTGTAGAAAGTTATTAAATGAAATGATTTTTAGCATAAAGCATATTTTTCAGACACATTCATGGCAGAGTGGTAATTGCAGGATGTTGTAACGTGAAATAGAACCCAAAGAAAATATATTTTTTATTATTTACTACTATTTTACCATTAACAACATTATATATAAAAACCAGACATGTAGGGCCATTTTGGTTAGTAAATAAAATGTCAGTTTTTTTGTTTTTTTTTTGCATTGTAGGCAGTTTGAGCCTGGGGCCTTATTTATCATTGGATTTCATACTAAAATCATTTTAAGAGAAATTCACAGAATTTGTGAACAATTTATAAAACTGAGTGTACTTTTGATGATACAGACACAACTTTGAAGTATAACTGACCATTTATAAACCATGAACAGTTACAGAAATGAGTGCACATGATCAGTGTTTACAGTTGCGCCCGTCTTTTAACTGATTTGCATTTAAACGTTTCCAGCAATAAACACTCTAAAGGAGAGAAAAGTGTATAGGACAGCATGTTCTCTTCTATAGACTCACTGGTTTAATGAACTCACTAAAATGGTTTATTTTTAATTCATTAAAAAAATAATAAAACAGATCAAATAAAATTAGTGTAAGTGTACAGAAGTATTGATATGCTTAAAGAGCTGAGGAGTAGGATGGCCTCATGAGCTACTCAGCATCATATATTAACCCGGTCTTAAAAGGTGAACTTAAAGAAGGACCAACACACTTTTTCTTCACATTTGTTCTTAATGAATAAATGAATGAATGAATGTTTTATTCGAGTTATTCGAATTGTTGCATGATTTGCAATGGAAATATTGTACTTATTACATCAAAGAGAAGCATGTGTTGATGGATTACGCGCGCCCTGCACACTGGAAGGCTCGGTGGAGGGGCTTCTGATACAGACATGTGCTACAGTCTCAATCTAGTTCATGTTCTGTGACGAATGTAAGCTTTTGATCCTGATGTATAATGTCAAACTGATGGTGTCACGGGGGCTGACTGCCGAGAGTTCATACGTCCGGCTGGAAAAATGCACCCGCTGATGTTTTCTTTCTCATTGAAATTGGATTACTTTCATGTGGATTTTCACACACGACTGTTTTAAGATCAAACCCATGCGTACCTGTCTTTTATAAATGAGGCCGCTGGTTCCATCAGCGCTGCAGAGCAAAGAAGGAAAGAAGGAAAGATTCTCTAAGGTGTATCGTTTCACATCAAACCAGTCTGAATGAATTTTAAAACTGCTTTAATACAGAACAGAAGGGTTTGACTAAAATCTGTCGCAGTGGTGTACAATCAACTGATACTTCGTTAGTTTTTCTCCTGGGGGTTTTAATGAATTTTATTACGGCTCTAATCAGGCCCAACTGACTCTCACATTCAAAGACATGAAGAAGAATCACGTGTTAAACTGTGAAAAAGGGGGGCTGATAACGACAGAGTGTGAAGGATTTTCCCATAGAATAGGTTTGCAAGCCAATAGACTCTCTCTCTCTCTTTCTCTCTGTCTGTCTCTCTCTCTCTCTCTCTCTCTCTCTCTCTTCTCTCTGTCTGTCTCTCTCTCTCTTCATTTCTCTCTCTCTCTCTCCCTCTCTCTGTCTATCTCTCTTTCTTCATCTCTCTCTCTCTATCTCTGTCTCTCTGTTCCTCACTTTACTGGACTCTCTCTGTCTCTCTCTCTCTCAGTTCAGTTCAGTTCAATAAGCTTTATTGGCATGACCATATTCAGCTACAGTATTGCCAAAGCATCGTCAAAAAGGAACAAGAAAAGAGAACATTTAGAACAGAGGATACAAACTCTTAATTGCATTTGATATAAAAATAATAATTATAAAAGAATCACATTAAAGAACTGTAAAATAATAGTTTGGAATTGAGTTGTAGAGAAAATTAAGAGGGGAAAAAAAAATAAATAAATAAATAAATAAAAATAAATAATAGAGATTTAAATAGATGCATGAAAATTACAAACAGGGCAGTTTGTGTGTATGTGTGTGTGTGTGTGCTGTATTTGGGTGGGTCACTCACTGTCCCTCATATTGTGGCAGGCAGATATGTATCGTGCTGCTAAGGCGCTGCTCTCTCTCCTCTCTCCTAGCAGGATGGGCAGCTTCTCATTGTTACTGAGGCGGCTAAATTGGGGGTGAATCTTCTCAAGTTTAGTAAAGTAAATGTTCTGTAGTTTATATTTGCTACATTCAGTGAGGAAGTGCAGCTCGTCTCTACGTGTTACTGTTGCACTGCTGCAGTCTCTGCTCTTTAGGCAGCCGGATCTCTTATAGCAGCCGGTCTGACGGCCAGGCTGTGGTCACTGACTCTACTTTGCAGCGTGGTTCTGTGTCTCTGTCAGTCCTGTGTTCAGGTACTCCGCTCAGTGTACTGACGGTTTAGGGCGATACACTGCATTTTGCTCTGTGCATGTGTCTGTGTCCAGTGGGTGAGTAGTTTTGTTTTTGGAGTGTTAGATGTGGTTTGTCTGATCTGTGTATTCATGCTGGTCCTACGGGAAACGTGTTAGTGTGTGTAGTGACTCAGCGTCAGGACCGCTGTGTGAGGGGGCTCTCTCTTTGCTCAGCTCTCGTATGCGGGCTTTGTAGTGATAAGAGTGGGGGTCACTGTGTTTCTCTCTCTCTCTCTCTTTATCTGTCTATCTCTGTTCATCAATCTAGTGGACTATCTTTCTCTCTCTCTCTCTCTCTTTCTTTCTCTCTCTCTCTTATCTGTCTATCGCTGTTCCTCACTCTACTGGACTCTCTCTCTCTCTCTCTCTCTCTCTCTCTCTGTCTCTCACTCTCTCTTTCTCTCTCTCTCTTTATCTGTCTATCTCTGTTCCTCACTTTACTGGACTGTCTCTCTCTTTCTCTCTTTATCTCTTTATCTATCTGTCATTATTTTTCTTCATGAACTTTTTTCTTCACACACACTCTTTACTGGACTGCTTCTCTCTCTCTCTCCTCTCTCTCTCTCTCTCTCTCTCTCTCTCTCTCTCTCTCTCTCTTTCTCTCTCTCTCTCTGTTTCTTTGTCCATCTGCCTCTTCTCAGCAGAAGGGCCACTGTAGAGATGTGAGTGAGGGATCAGAGATAATGAGAACATGTGTAGAGGAATCTGGAACAAGAACGTCTCACAGTCTGAGGGGTTTTTTTTTGTATTGTTTTGTTTTTTTTGTTTTTTTTATTGGTCCCATTGCGGCGGTGGGAAAATAGCCTATGCGCTGCTCTGTTGATTTCATAACATCACTGAAACTTGAGAGTTTTTGCTTTTTGATTGATCGCTCCCTCACTGGCCACAGCTCACTCGCTCACTCACTTCAGCGCTCTATAAAAATCTGTTTAGATGTCGACTCGTTCTTGACCTCCGGTATTTGAAAATAGACACGGCTGGGCACGCTCCGGTTCAGCCAGACGTTTTCATCTGCTGCGGTCAATAGCCGTGCACGTCACAGAATGCAGAGTAGCTTCCACCAGGGACTGATATTGTGTTTCCATAAAGGGCAGTAAAATCTAATATTAAAAAAACATATTCAGTCTGGAACATTTGGGAGTTTACATCAAAAAAGCTTTTCTCTTTTTTTGGTTGCTTTTGTTGAAAGTAGAAATGCCTTACGAACTAGGCGAGTCACATCCCTCACCCGAGCGAAATAACGATGTTTTGAAGAATCAATCCGCTCTCCACGGTTCTCCAAATTGGCTGCCTCCCAGGGTAGCCCTAAATCTTCTTCTGTGGCTGTAATTAGAGTACACAGAGGGAAGAATAACACACTCTCTCCTGCTTTGACAGAGTCCACAGTGTTCATTCCCCAAGCAAGCTTCGCCGTTGAGGAGGACGTTGGAGAGCTGCTGGTTCCAGTGCGCAGGACAGGAGATGTCAGTGAAGAACTGATGGTGCTCTGCTACACAGTGCAAGGTACAGCAGGAGCCTTCAGGAGCTCATCAGTGCCATCAGTGCCATCAGTGTAGTTTGTCGTTTTCGCTGCTCTTTAGATGCAAAGTGTCCCATGGACCTGGCTTATAACTCACATACACACTCACATATTAACTCACATACTCACTCACATACATCACTCACTCACTCACTCACTCACTCACTCACATACTCACATACTTACATACTCTCACTTACTCACTTACATACTCACATACTCACTCACATACTCACTCACATACTCACATACTCACTCACATACTCACATACTCACTCACTCACATACTCACTCACATACTCACTCACATACTCACATACTCACTCACATACTCACTCACATACTCACATACTCACTCACATACTCACATACTCACTCACTCACATACTCACTCACATACTCACATACTCACTCACATACTCACATACTCACTCACTCACATACTCACTCACTCACATACTCACTCACTCACATACTCACTCACATACTCACTCACTCACATACTCACTCACATACTCACTCACATACTCACTCACTCACTCACTCATATACTCACTTACATACTCATATACTCAATCACATACTCACTCACATATTAACTCACATACTCACATACTCACTCACATACTCACTCACATACTCACATACTCACTCACATACTCACTCACTCACATACTCACATACTCACTCACATACTCACTCACATACTCACTCATTCACATACTCACTCACATACTCACTCACATATTAACTCACATACTCACATACTCACTCATACTCACATATTAACTAACTCACATACTCACATACTCACTCACATACTCACATACTCACTCACTCACATACTCATATACTCACTTACATACTCATATACTCAATGACATACTCACTCACATATTAACTCACATACTCACATACTCACTCACATACTCACTCACATACTCACTCACTCACATACTCACTCACATACTCACTCACATACTCACTCACTCACATACTCACTCATACTCACATATTAACTCACTCACTCACATACTCACTCACTCACATACTCACATACTCACTCACTCACATACTCACTCACTTACATACTCTCACTTACATACTCACATACTCACTCACATACTCACTCACATACTCACATACTCACTCACATACTCACATACTCACTCACTCACATACTCACTCACATACTCACTCACATACTCACTCACATACTCACTCACATACTCACATACTCACTCACATACTCACATACTCACATACTCACTCACATACTCACTCACATACTCACTCACTCACATACTCACATACTCACTCACTTACATACTCTCACTTACTCACTTACATACTCACATACTCACTCACATACTCACTCACATACTCACATACTCACTCACATACTCACATACTCACTCACATACTCACTCACATACTCACTCACTCACATACTCACTCACTCACATACTCACATACTCACTCACATACTCACTCACTCACTCATACTCACTCATTCACATACTTGTATAATCACTCATACTCATTCACAATCTCACTCATACTCACTCACTCAGAAAAAATAATTACAGGCAGCTTATTATAATATCACCAAACAGCCTTATAGCAATAAAAATGCTTTATGTAAATAGATTATTTTCTGCAAAAAATGTTGTGTTTGCCCATGTTTCCATCTCAAATTCCATGTATATCACAAGTTGTGTAGCTTTGGCCTCCCTGACTCCCTTACCTACCGATTTTTTTCCATTAGAACCGCCAGAGATCAGATTTCTCTGCCGTAAAGAGCCGTTTGAGCACTTTCCATTTAGAAAGGCTGCAGCCTTTTCTGAACATCTCTCTCTGTAAGTGCTGAAAAGTGGCAGCATTCCTTTAAAAAACGCCCGTTTTTAACTACACCTCTATACCTTCTCCTTCGAAACTGTACCTTCTCCTCAGCCTTGTCCTCCAAAACTATACCTCCCCACCGCCATGCTGTTTGTGTTTGTTATAAGAGGCAGGTGAGAGAAACATATATTATTTTTCAGCAACAACAAAAAAACATTTCAAAAAGTGATACAGTTTTTGCAGCATTTCAGGTAGCATTGAAGCTTGTTATGCAGTTGACTTGAGAAGGCCTGACTTTGGAAAGGCTGCTTTTGGATCAAGAGCTTCGCCAACCCAGACAGTGACTCAGTGAATGACTAATTATGATTCGTTTTGGTCTATTAATGACAGCTGCTAATGTCATTTTATGCTAAAGCTGTCTTTAAATGCATATGGTTGACATTTAATGGGTCAAAAAAGAAGACTGGGGTTCCGTTCTCTAAGTGTCTTAGAATATATTTAGCAGTTTAAAATGTTGATTCATGAAAAGGAAGTAAAGCTATTTTTTTCTTTTGACGTATTAAAGTATTAAAGTTTTAAAGTATTAAGTTTTCTAAAAGGCATTAAAGGAATGCCTTTTAAAAATTATTCCATTCTAAACTCAAGTTCCAGAATGGCTACAGTGACCTCGAGCATGATTAAGGCTCAGTCTCACGTTCTTCAGTCTAGCTGGTCAGAACTAGTTATTCTCTCTCTTTCACAGAAGTTTACTGTAAGGTTACAGTTGGTTACCAAGTAAAACATCAAAGAAATAGTTTGGTATAAAAAAAAAAAATAAAATTTACACAATTTTTTCCCTCAAAATGTACCTCAAATGTAGATCAGACAAGACATTCAGTGTACAAAGTTTGCTTCTTTAGTAAGAAAAGTAGATTTTATGTGACGTATGCTTTTATTACATTTTCTATATTATATATTTTTACATTTAGATACATTGGTCTATATGCAAAAGTTTGGGCACCACTTGCCAGATTACACAATGTGTTGGTTTTTGAAGTGACAAGAAGCAAAAAACCTTTTCAGCAAACTATTTTTAAAAATATTTTTTTCAGCAAATGTTATTGTACAGTTGCTTCATTTCTTTAGTTTTAATCAAATATAAAAATATAAAAATAGTAATTGTTGCATGGACAAAAGTTTGGACATTCTTCCTGTTTTAAAGTCTCAGAACTTAATTAAATCGTTGGGCCTTAATTGGCTCTTTTGGACTGATTAGACAGGTCAGGAATTGTCATTATGAATTGTCAGCTGGTAATTCCAGAGTGTAGTGAATTCTCTGACTCATTAAACCTGCTACACTCAAACTATAGGCTCCTCTGAGCAGCTGGCTGAGGATCTGAAAATGAAGCTCATTGATGCCTACAAAACAGGAGAAGGCTAGAAATAAACTGTGTAGCGCTTCCAGCCTTCAATTTCCACTGTCTGAAATGTCAAGAACTGGCAGTTCAGGGGAACTGTGCAAGTCAAGGCAAGATCTGGAGGACCAAGAAAACTCTCAGATAGAACTGATTGTCCGGAAAAGCAATGCAAAACCCCCATATGACAGAAAGCATCCGCAGTAAGGTTTAGCTGACACAGGAGTGGCGGTGCACCTTAAGAAAACTTTACCTGCGACCTCAAAACAACATGTTGTGGACTAATGAGGTGAAAAAAGTAAAATATTTGGCCACAATCACTGAAAGAATGTCTGGAGAAAAAGAGCCGCATTTGATGATCTATTATGCTTTTGGATTTTGTGGCGGCCAGTGGCTCAGGAAACATTGCACAGGTAGATAAAAGAATGGATTTCACTAAATATCAGCAAATTCCGGAAGCAAAGGTGACACACAGTTAATCAAGAAAGCGAAGATGTGAAAAGGCCTCTTCAACAGGACTATAATCCAAAATATACCTCAAAACCCACCATGAACTAGGACAGGGGTCAGCAACACGCGGCTCCAGAGCCACATGAGGCTCTTTTGTCTCCCTGTTGTGGCTCCACAGCAGAATTAGGTAAAAATAAAATAATCCTCCTTTACAGTAAAATAAAGCTCTGCTGATCATTCAACACAGTTTAACAATAAATGGTCTTAAACGCTGGAGTTAATGTAGAGCTGCTGATTCACCCTTTAACCCTGAAGGTTGGTGTACAGACTGTTGGTCACCATAGCAACACAGACAAGAATCTCGCCTAGCTAGTAGCTAACGAAAAGAGCAAGATTTAAGACGAACAACAATAATTTGGAGACGAATTGATTTATTTGCATCATCACTCCAGCTGGTTTCCTGATAAGTTTAATCTGCAACAAGAAACCGTCAATGGGAACGTGAAAATTTGAACGAGAAGCTGGTGAATATCTGACTTCATCTTCATACCACTGAAGAATTAGGGGGGGGTGATAATAAATGATTGACCCCGCCCCTCTTTTAATGGCATATGATGCCCCAAATGTAACTAAAGCCCAGCAGTGAGGAGCTGAACTTTACCCTCCTCTGCTGTCACTGCAGACTGGCAGGGTCGCCTACAGAGCAGCGCTGGTAGCTGTTAATGAAGTGATGCTCTTTTTATTTGAGGGTCCCATTTCAGAGGGAAGATTTCAACCACTACAACTTGTAACTCAGTTCCAAGGGGCAACGTGACACTCGAAAGCAAGGGGTAGGGGGAGAAATAAGAAATGGGACTGGGCCTAAGCCGATTGCCAGGTTAGAGATATTGGTATACATTCGTAAACATGAATATAGAATACAAGGACTTGAATATAAACTGAAAAACAGCTGACTAAGCCATTTTCAAGTTGTAGACCTTTGTTGACATTCTGGAACTTGTTTAGAGTTGAACAAGTTGAGCTTAAACTGAAGTTTAGCTATTCCTCCTTCTCCTCCTTTGTAGGTTCTGCTAAAGGCACTGTCCCAAGTACTGTCCTCTCTTACTCGGACTACATCTCCCGGCCAGAGGAGCAGACCAGCATGCTGCGCTTTGAGAAGGGGGAGAGGGAGAAGTTTTGCCGCGTGGTCATCATTGACGACTCGCTGTACGAGGAGGAGGAGAGCTTTAACGTGACCCTCAGCATGCCGCTGGGTGGCCGGCTGGGCTCAGAGTACCCCAGCACACGTATCAGTGTCCTGCCCGACCTGGACGATGGTAAGAGCAGATCTCAGAGGAACAGTGCTAGAATAGTAAACACTAAAAAAAGGTTTCAGATTTGATTCAAGTGTGTATAACGTTTCCACATGAATAAAATATATTACGTCTGCTCAGTTCTGTGTTTCTGTTTACCTGCGATAGATGTGTTGATGTATTTTATTCATGTGCAAATTATGTATCACATTGCATTCAAGTAAATCTAGTGCATTATTTTTTCAGTGGGGATATTTTTAGGATATTATTTTTCAGTGACTAAATGAAAAAGTAATCAGTACATAAAATAAATACGCTATACTTGATGTTAACAAGCAAATTGAATATTGAGATTCAAATGATCTGTTCATCCTCTGCCGACTAATGCAGTATTTTGCGTGTGAGTTATGAAATGTTGCCTTCCTCACCCAATTAGTGCACTGTACACCGATCAGGCATAACATTAAGACCACCTCCTTGTTTCTATGCTTATTGTCCATTTTATCAGCTCCACTTACTATATAGGTGCACTTTGTAGTTCTACAGTTACAGACTGTAGTCCATCTGTTTCTCTGCATACTTTGTTAGCCCCCTTTTACTCTGTTCTTCAGTGGTCAGGACCCCCATGGACCCTCACAGAGCAGGTACTATTTGAGTGGTGGATCATTCTCAGCACTGCAGTAACACTGATGCGGTGGTGGTGTGTTGGTGTGTGTTGTGCTGGTCTGAGTGGATCAGACACAGCAGTGCTGCTGGAGTTTTTAAATACCTCGGTGTCGCTGCTGGACCGAGAATAGTCCAGCAACCAAAAATATCCACCCAACAGAGTCCTGTGGGCAGCGTCCTGTGACCACTGATGAAGGACTAGAGGATGACCAACACAAACCGTGCAGCAGCAGATGAGCTATCGTCTCTGACTTTACATCTACAAGGTGGACTGACAAGGTAGGAGTGTCTAATAGAGTGGACAGTGAGTGGACACAGTGTTTAAAAACTCCAGCACCACCGCTGTCTGATCTACTCGTACCAGCACAACACACTAACACACCAGCACCACGTCAGTGTTACGGCAGTGCTGAGAATGATCCACCACCCAAATAGTACCTGCTCTGTGAGGGTCCATGGGGGTCCTGACCACTGCAGAACAGGGTAATAGATGGAAACAGATGGACTACAGTCTGTAACTGTAGAACTACAAAGTGCACCTATATCGTAAGTGGAGCTGATCAAATGGACAATGAGTGTAGAAACAAGGTCATAATGTTATGCCTGATCAGTGTATGTCTAATAGGGAGTTATGTGCATGTGGCCGAAATTTTAAATGGCCATTTGTTAGGCATATTTTACACTGTTTGGCTACAGGAGCCATTATTTTAAGACTTACATGGTGCACTATGTTGAGAGTACTGAGCCATTTGAGACTCAGCCTTAGTGAACTGTGTAATGTTTTCCCGTCTAACTGCTTAGACCTTTGAGTTTAGTAGTGGATAGCTAATTATGGCTGATGGGGTAGAATGACACATTTATTCAAATGTACCAAAATATGATAATTGACTTTTCAGAAGTCTTTGCACTGGTCGGCTTGTCACCTCAAGGGGCCTGAAAAGTGAATCAGCTCTTTGCTGCTGTCTTTCCGTTACCACTGAAATTAAGACGGAAAGTGGATCACTGCCGCTAGCTTGTATGTTTACGGTTCTTGATGTGATTTTTTAATTTTTAATGCTGCCAAATGATTTTAATCATCAGCCTATGCAGTCTGGGCTAAACAAACGTCTTGGTAACAAACTACAGGTCTTCTCCAGGCTGATGTACTGTGGTGCAGTAAAAGCTTTGCTTCACACATTCCATGCAAGGCTATGAGACAATGGTCTTTATAATAAAATACTGTAATTATTCCAGGTTTAAATAGAAACTAACAATGGTAGGATTATACAATGCTGATTTATTTCTGTTTAAAAAGAAAACAATGGCTGGATTTGGCCAGTCGCATGGCCTATAATACACTGAGGGAAAATCTGCTCTGAGAACAGAAGACGTTTGGAATTTATACAGCATATCAGACGAGAAAGGGCTGTATTATGTCTTTCCAAACCAGATAAAACAAAGCATTTTGTGTCCCATTTAAATGCAGTGTAAGTGTATGTACAAAGAACACCAGGCCTACTTGAGCAGTGACTGCGCACAGGATTGTCTTTTTCTCTACACGGTTTTATGAGGCCTGAAACAGCAGATAAAGATGAGGCTCTTTAAGCCTGTTTGCTTTACCAGTGCAAGCAAAATCATTATGTTCCAGCTATAAGCTTGGGATTTTCGAAGTCTTTGTTTCCATTTATGGTTTATTGTGCTGCTTCTGAAACAGTCATGCAGAGAATAGGAGCCGACGGCTTCGCACAGGTCAGATTCACAGCGTGAGTCATTGTCAGGAGACGGAGACGGAACAGACAGATCATCTAACCTCCGTTCAGCGAAGTGTTCGGTGATAGATATTCACCCGGTATGTCTAGGGATAGTGCTGCATGTATGGATATGTGTTTATCTGAGCGTGTTCCACTTAAAGGCTGAACCAGGATTAGTAAGAAATCCAGCGTGCTTCAGACAGTCGGGTGGAGTTGTTGTGCGAAACGTTTGATTGATTTTTCTTTACACAGCCCTAGTTGAGGTGGAGCTGAGCTCTACAGGGGGCTGTGCAGCAGATTTGTGCTAATGCTGCATGGCTGGAGGAGGAAGGTGCTGCTTGATGAGAGCTTACCCTGTGTGGCTTGTTTTGACATGCTGCAGTATGTAAGCTACTCTTTCACTCTCTCCACACAAACACTCGCGCCCCAGGCTCTTAAGTATTGGAGGTTTCCGGAACGACCTCATTTTCTGTGTTACTACATCCTGAGGGCTGCAGATCTTATCTGCTCCCTATCTGAAATGCTTGTCTTTGGATCTAAACTGAACCCTCTGAAACGTCAGTCAAGCATTTTAAGAGGCTTGCTTAGGTCTGAAAGGCAGAGTTGTCTGTTATTGTGAGACCTGATGTTTGGCTAAAGGGGGATTCCAGCACTTTTTCAGTATTTCTGCATAATTCAGTGGTTGAGATGTAAACAAAAAGTCAATAGAAGTGGTTTGATGTGAAGTGGGTCACCAGAGAGAAACTTACTGACTCAGGCTTCTTTACAGTGGTGGGGATGGGAACCAGGGATCTACAACACAAATATAGACATTTTATTTACTATCCAAAACCAGCAGAGAAGCTATGTGTTTTTATTCATATTGTTGATGACAGTAAAATAGTGATAAGTCTGAAAACATTAGACCTGTTTTGCCTCACAATGTCCTGAATGTACCTGTCCACCATAATAGATTTTTAAAAAATACATTTTTGGTCAACAATTTATCACAAAACTATTGTAAGACACTGAGTTCGTTTATATGCACTTAATAATCCCATCATAATCGGACTTCTGCAGTTATCTGATTATTCAAATGGTTATGAAAACATCATATTCCTATATAAAAATCCAATTAGGAAATCCAATAAAGAGGCTGGATTTTAGCTCAGTAATCAGATTTCTCAGTGCATGTAAACTCATACCCTGATTTCTTTCGGATTTCTCAGTGTGTGTATGTGTGAAAACAGACAGCTTTACCGGAAATAAGTAAGCAGTGCTGCCACGAGATGCAGCAAAACACTTTTGGAGCTGAAACCAACTACATTCTTAAAGAAATGAAGGAATATTCTTCATCTTCTGGATGATGTATGTTCATATTTACAGGTAAAGTGGCGCAAAGCTGCGGCATGAAGTTTGAGTTTACCTTATGTTTATTTCACGTCTTATTCTGTGAGTTTATCAGCTGGTTGTAAAGCAGAAATCTGATTACTCTCCGACATATGTAGACCTGGAGTTTTCCCATTATCTGATTACTCAAGGGCATATAAATAAACTGATCGGATTACTGACAAAATCTGATTTTCGGATTTTTCTGTTATTCAAATGGTCATGTAAACACTATACTCCTATCTAGAAATCCGATAAAGAGACCTGGATTTTAGCTCAGTAATCAGATTTCTCAGTGCATGTAAACTCTTACTCTGATTTCTTTCGGATTTCTCAGTCTGCATGTGTGAAATAAAGAATTCAAATACTCTTCATCTTCTAGAACCTAGATGATGTATGTTTTATATTTTGGTGCGATGTTTTAAAAAAAAGCCGCGGTATGAAGTTTGAGTTTATTTTACGTTTATATCACGTCTTCTTCTGAGAGTTTATTGGCTGACTGTAAAGCAGAAATCTGGTTACTGTCTGACTCATGTAGACCCGGAGTTTCCCCATTATCTGATTACTCAAGTGCATATAAACGCATTTTTCGGATTACTGACAAAATCAGATTTTCTGCAGTTATCGGATTATTAAGTGCATGTAAACGCATTTAGTGTCTCAGACATCAGGCAGTGAATTCATAACCAGTTCATGTAGTGACTTTTTGTGAGGGAGCTTTTAGAGGTGGACGTCTGGTTTCTATCACCACCACTGTGAACAATTCTGACTCGGTAAGTTTCTCTAAAACACAGTATTTCACATCAAAACACTCTGAATGACTTTGTTTACATCTTAACCATTTAATTATGCAGAAACCTTGAAAAATCAGTGGAATTCCCTGTTTAATATCTACAGTAGTTACTATTAGTGTTATTACTGTTCATAGTGTTGTACTTTAATCTTAGCTGGATCTGTCCCTCGATTTTCTGTTCACAACATTTCCAGATTCGCCACTTTGAATCACTTTTTAACCAGGCTAAATTACCATGGAAACTTCTGCTGCACAGGTTTAGTTTAGGGTTTTTGGACCATAAACAGTTCTTGGACCAATCAGGTTGAGCTACTAACCAATCAGGGACAGTCTTCTGCACTCTCAGAGGTAAAGGTCCTAAACTGTCTCTGGGGTCAGTTCCCCTCTTGTCACCGGGGTGGTTCCCTCAAGGCTCCATCTCAGTACCTTTAGTCAGGGAACATAACTGAACCATAATCCACTGAAAT